AAGTACTCTTTCCATTCTACGTATACGATGTATAAACTATTCTTTCTATTCTGTTAGATAAGATGTTCTAGAAAGAAAATAAATGTTTGTTTGTAGCATTATCACTCCTGAAAACTCCGGGAAATATGTGAGGATATCGAATGTTTATGCTTTTTTTTTTTGTATTGGTATGAATGTTAAGATTAATTTATACCATTTTTTATTTTTATTTTACAATGTTGAACGATCAAGTTATTACAAGGGATGATAAAACAGAAATTACAAAGAACCTGCAATACAATGAAAGTAAACTTCTAAGAGAGAAGGAGAGCTTACACTTGTTGCAGGGAAGGAGAGGAGACGATCACGCATCATCCGATCAGCCTGAGCACGAGGAGGTGAAAACGAAGATGCGGCGATTATGCTCCTTCCAAAGTAGGTAGACACAAACTTGAAGTAGAAGCCTTACCACAATACATTTACTCGACCAATTAAGAGACCGATCATTTGAGGTTGACGATGCAACATAATGGATATCCAATAACTGAGCAAAACCAAACACCGCAGTGAAACTGTTCTAAAGCTTCGAAGAGAACGGACATGCAAAGAATAAATGGTTGTGTGTCTCTGGCTGTTGGGAACAAAGCACACACATCCGGTATGTTCATGCCCATCGTCTAAGCTTCTCCCTTGTGCGTAGTCTTGACAGCATAACCAACCAAACTATAAAGGAATAGCGGGGTATTTCCTCTTTAAACCATACAACCTTAGTCCAAGACACCATTGGTGATTGATCTCTTAGTTGCTCCCATGTTGACTTAAGAGTTGAAATTACTCACATAAGTAATTACTCTTAGATGCTTATGCCAAAGATAGGTGAAATTACTCACAAAAGCACCCGCTGCATTACGCCAAAGATAGGTGTCATGCCCTCTAGTATCAATAGGAAGTAAGATGCTTACGCCAAAAATGCTTATGCAGTTGAAGGAAGCTGGGACGAAGTTGTGAAGATGAGAGAGATGATGAAAGTTAAAGGCTTGAAGAAAAAGCCTGGATGCAGTTTGATTCAGATTGAAGGAGAAGGAGTCCATGTTTTTGTTGCCAATGATAAGACACATCTTAGGAACAATGAGATACGAAGGATTTTAGCATTATTACTATTTGATATGTGTTCGGATTCTAAATGATATATATATAAGTGTATGAAATATTACAAATTTTAATATCAAATTCACAATCACAACTCTTATTTTGTGTTTTGTCTAGTGAGGAAAACAAAAAAAAAACTCATACCAATTGTATCGCAAGTGACAAAGAACAACAAACCGTTGCGTCAGATTACTAGTTCACTCAGCTTAGTACACGGACCGGCCGATTGTCGGTGGAGAGTCTATAAACAGATCTCAACCATCCACGTGTAACTCGGGTCCACCAGTTCCAAGCATCTTTAATTCCACGAGTACCCCTGAACTTATGCCAAACCACGAAATTACCCTCATTTCCGGTTTTCGCTGACTGAAATCGTGCACGCATTCATGCGCTTTAACTTTTGCTTCGTCACCGACACACACTGATGACATGGCCACAGTCAAAGATTCAGGTTCTGTCTAATCAAAGTTTCAGTTATAAGGATCAAATAAAATGTGTGTTTAACAAAATTATTTGGAAATACTACACATGTTAACTATACTAGGTGATTCTTCCATGTAGACACGAATAAATTATTTATATAGTTTTGTTTTTAAATTTATTTTTTAAAAATGTGAAATACATAATTGTTTTGATTTTTATTATAGACA